ACCCTCTTGTACCCTCAAATAGGGGTAGCTGGTCCCCAAAATGGGCATTTCGTGGCATAATAGGACCTAGATAGACGTTAAGTGCCCATGGGTTCCCACCGTGGAAGTCAAGAAGCCAAGTGTTAATGCTCGAGTTTTGCACATCACACCAACAAGAGAAGCAAGAACAGCTAGCAAGCAGAGCACTATTGCGACCTCACCAGTCACAGCCATATAAGGAAAACGGATGCGACGGAAAGCAGACAATGATGGCAAGAAGAAGACAGTAAGTATTCATCAGTGCTGTAGCGGCAGCAACACCTGCGGCCACGAGTGCAGCTGCGCCGGCATCAACACCAGAACACCGGCCGCGACGACATTCGTATCAGCAGCGGCAACAGCTTCCCTTCAAATTTGCCACACCACGTTGGACAAAGTATGCTGCAACTACAAGGGCATCCTAACCATTCCCACCCCAAATCCCCAAACCCCAAAGCTCTTGAAGCCCGGGGCTGCGAATGCTAGCTAGACTGCTAGACCCACAAGCACCCGCAGCCCCAAACACAGCAAACCATACCCGGAGAGACAAAGCAGTTATAGCTTAAACCCCAGAGCTCAGCGAACGAAAACATGTTAGCAAATACGACTACATACGTACATGCATAATGTGTGTATCTGTATGTGCGTAGGTATATCGTATGCATATGTATGTGGGTATAATCGGTGCGTGTGTGTGTGTATATATATATATTAATATTAATTAATATACATATATATATATATATGTGTCCACACAATTTGCCACAGGGCCTCGTCTCGGAAGCCGGCACCGCAGCGAGAGGATCCGGACGAGAGCGACGAGGAGCCGAGTACTGAGCTGCGGTTGATACCGTAGGCCTCGGGACTTATAGCTTCGACTTATTCACGTTCTTTTTGTCAAACGGGTTGAGAAAGGGGCTTTAGAGAGGTTTGTGGGCGATTGTACAAGGGTTTTATATCGAGTCGAGTCCATAGTTCGTTTTTGAACGTGGTTATGGGTTTTGAAGGTTTTGTGAGAAGAAGTTGGGCTGTCTGCAGGTTTGGTTCACAGGATGTAGCAGGGCTTCCGCAGGTGAAGCAAGGCCGAGCCCGCGACTGCAGGATTTGAGGTAGGGATTAATAGAGGTCGTGGATTTTCGAGCCTTTTTTGGGCTGGGAGTTTTCAGGTCCAGGTGTTGTTAGTTGGTAATTTAGAGAGGGGTTGAGGATCCAAGGCAAGCACTGTCTTAGGCCTTGTGAGCTTAGAGCAACAGCCCAACTAGGGCAGATCCAAAGGTGCTTTTCGTCAGCAGCTGTGGGTATTCGGTGGGTAGGCATCTAAGCTAAGGCAACTGAGCATTTAAGTTCGTGCTTTCTGGTTGTATCGTAGGCCTCCCAGAAGCTCCGGGCTAAAAGCGAGTTTTGGTTGAGTCTTGGGACATGGTAATATAGAAGCTTGTCTATTCTAGACATAGATACCCCAAACCCTGTCCTACTTATTAAGGCCCCTATAGTGTGTCCTGGGCCCTTACCAGATCTGAACATTTCCAACCCTGAACAGCCCTGAGCGATAAAGTCGCCCACTTCCATACCGGCTAAGGTCCACGGATGACGAGGATAGCGACGATGATGAGCTCGAGAGCCCTGGAATAGCAGGAGTAACTATACGGATATGCGTAGGTACATTATGCACATATACACACAAACACACACATACATAGATGATATATGTATATATAACACATATTGTTCTATTCAAGAAAACCTGAGCCTCAAACCCCAAACCTGGAGACAAACAAGGAGTTGGAGCGACGAGAAACGGGCAAATAACATCAAACCAAAGCGCAAATGAACGCGCACTTGGGCTTCAGGAGCTGCAGTGCATCATGGAATTAAGCAGCATGACCTGTGCAACTGACGCAGCGTGTCTGAGACGGACATTCAAATCCTGGAGCCCTAAGCCCTAGCTCTAAACCCTCTAATCTAGACCCCGAACCGAAATGAGCCCTGTCTTCAGGGTCATGCCTTAAACCGATTCTAAGCACAGTTCAGGTGTGTTCCTTAATTCGAGGTTTCAGGGTTCAAGCCGAAACAGTGGAACGGAGCTAAGGAAGTGGGAAGAACGGCTGATGAAGCTTGAGGGGGCGACCACCAAGGAATTCGCTTGGGGTCGAGGGTGCAGAGATTACGGCTTGGGGTTTCATCGTTATCCTCAAAGCTTGCGAAACAGGGGCGAAGTGTGATCAGCAAGTGATTGTGGCCAATCGGGCACGGTTCTTCCTTCGTAGCACCCAACCCGCAACTTAAGTGCGGAAGAACCCATGTCCGAGCATAGGGCAATCCCTGGTGAATTGAAGGTGCCGAACTGTTTAGCTGTTCTTATAATTTTTCGAAGTCCTCGTGGGCGTGTGTTCAAGCAATACGAATTGTGACACCCTTGTACAAGCCCTGGCACTCGGAAAGACGATGCCCGCGTAAAAGAAGCATATGCGGGTCCCATAGACCCCCAGCCCAGTGAGCCCTGAAAGCCTGAAGGATTTTCGGGGCACCAGAAAGTGCAGACCTCTGTTTCAGAATCTTGAGCCCCAAACTCCCCCAAAATTTCTGAGAACCCGCAGCCCTGAATCCCTAAAGCCTAAAACCCGAAACCCTAATCCCTAAACCCTATAAATGCCTATAACTCGCCGCCTGATTTCAAAAAAAAGCGATCGGTCCTGATTAGAGGAGCTCGACCCAAAGGCCCGACAGGCTCCTCACTTGGTCACCAAGGCCCCAGCGCTCGGTGGTTTAGGGGTTGTCTTTGTGGTTGTTATTTTGGAACTGGGGGAGGGTGGGGAGTTCGGTGGGTTCGGACTTGAGGATTTTGGGGTTCGGACTTTAGGGGTGCAGGTTTAAGGGTTGTTGGGCCGCGGCCTCTGTCGGAGCGTTTGGTTGCGTCTATTGAATCACTACACGAGCCCATGTATGCGGAGCATCCTGCCGTGCGAAGTTGACAAGCTCAGACAGCTTCACTACGGCCACTGCGATTTAGGCAACGCCTGACCTATCCTGAGGCATGTCTTTGTCGCTCCGAAATCATGCCTAAAGGTGGGTTCCTGCCTGTATCTTCAGCTTCAAACCGGTGCAGGGTCTAGACTTTTACTGTGACCTGAGGCGCGACCGGTCCCTTATCAGCTGGTGATCCCCACCTACCAACGCTGGATGCCAGTTTGCCAGATGAGCAACAAGAAGAGGCGGGGCAACTCGCACGCGCAATGCTGGTGTGCATCCATGAACAGGTCGACAGCACAGCACCACCTTACAATAAGAAATGGGACAAACCGAGTTGTCTAAATGATTGAGTCAGAAGTACCATCGCCTACGGCTTGCACGGCCTTTTCTGTTGCTGTTATCATTTCCTAGGTCCATGTCCCGCTAAGGTTCAAAGGGTGCAAGTCTGCATTCATCCTGGTGCACACCCTGGCGATGTTGTCCAGACAGCGGATTCCCAAGCATCGTGTGACGCTCTTCGTGGCCAACGAGACCGAAAGGACATAGAATGGGCAGGTTCAGCAGAATGACATAATGCCTGCAAGTACAAGGCCCGTAACGATCGGCAAGCATCACACCAGAGCAGCTGTGGTTGAGAGTAGCTACAATGAATGCAAACCATGTTGAAGGCGCGCTCGGCAAGATTCAACAAACCATTGCTAAAAGTAATTGTAGTAGTTGTTGCAACAGTTTTTGTACAGTGTCATGCTGTTGGCAGTAGTTGTTATGGCTATATTCTGCCGTTTAGTCCACAGCCCGTACAGGAGCCTTCAAAATAAACCTGTGTCCTGCAGCTTCCTGGGTGATAACATGCCCACACCACATTTCGGCACTCAATGGATTTCCAATACGGATGTGGGTTACCATGTTCTACACTCATACTGAACATATACACTGGTTGTCTGTGCGCAGCTACACACATCTGTAGGCGCACGCGGTCTTCCGCATCAAAGCACATATGTACCACAGGCGTTGCCATGTTTCTTTACACATGAGTTTGCTTACACCTGGCCCTGAAGATCAGTGTCACCCGGCGCTCTGGCAGGAAAAACTACAGGGATGCGCTGGTCGGTAGTGAGTGGGAGAATGTGCGCATCGAGCTTTCTGTGAAGGGCAACAAGGACAAGCAGCAGTGTCGTTTGTTCATGCTACTAGACAGAGCTCACATGAGAAGCTGATAGATCATGCTCTTCTGTGCGTCCGAGCTGCGAAGAGTTGTGAAGCAAGCGTGGCCGAGCTTCGATGTCGGCCTCTAGGAGTCCCGAAACTTTATCATGAAGTTTTTCCCAGCCGGCACATACGTCGTCAGCACCTCATCTGCATCCTATCTCAAGTCTTGCTCTGAGGCCTCAGGCTTTGGGTCGTGCTTGCGAGGCCATCGTCCCGGAGGATCTTCCTCGGACGACTATCCTCACCTTCGTCAACGCGCAAGTAAACTAATTACCCCTCACTGCTCCAAGAGTTTTCCGCAACGGACAGCAGTCTTTGACTTCCTGATCCTTGCTCGCCCTGCAATTCACACAGAAAGGTGGTGTCACTCTCAGAAACCACTGTAAGGCATAGATGATGACGTCGAGAGGATCAGCTGGAAGATTCGGGAGGGCCACTTGTCTGCACGACTGCTGTTGAATGGCCTATTGCAATTTAAAGTGGCAAGCACAACAAAACTCCATTCATGTGGGTAGCTATTTAGATATGGGTCCTGTTTGAAAGAAGACTTTGCTCCGAGCCACAATCGGAGACTGCCCAAAGCCTCATCGGGACAGATTCGAGCCTTGGGACAGAGCGGTGAAGTCGAATTGGACAGTCGGTACTCACAGTGCTAAGGTATGACGCCTTGTGTGCTGCGGACGCTCCCGCCGGGCAGCTACTCGGGTGCATGCAATGACACTGTGCTGTAAAATAATGCCGGAAATCTATCCTGGAAACCATGCCGCCCATCCAATAGTAGTAACCGTATCAGCAACAGCTCATCATCACAGCAACATCACCAATCGAAGAAACCAAGGGTGCTGAAACCCTCATCCACATTCTTTGTTGATCCTGTAAGTGTAGCTTCTTGACTCCTGAAGCGAGGAGGAGAAGGGCCTGGGGAGTTAGACCCTAAAGTTCCTAAAGCTGAAGTCGGCCTTGGGACCGACGCCTTAATGGGGTTCAGCTTCGGCTCCTGGAGTCTCCTGCGCTGTCGAGGCTGGGGCGGCTTTAAGACAACTCCTAGGAGGAGAGCCTCCGCAGAACATGTCGGGCGAGTATAGATCCTGGCACCGTTGGTGGAGAGCCTAGAGGAAGGAAGCGGGTCTCAGTCCCAGTTGCTACAGCTCTCCACTGGAATGACGAGGCGGGTCACCATAATTGTCGATGAAGGAGCCACTCTGAAAATCGCTGGTGTTTATCTGGCAACGTCGCCACCGTAATCCCACAGTTCATAGGTCCTTACCGTCAAGATTACTCAGTGCTTTTCTGCGAGCGATGATGACTATGAATATAGTCATCGTCGTCATCTCTCAATTACCCGCACGACGACGACCTTCGATGCCACTGCCACTGCCCTTTCTATCACCATGACGTCCGTCATGATTGGGTTCGTACATGTTCTCACTACATATGTAGTCGGCATCCTCACAGCCATGCCATACTTACAATCATTGCTAGTTTCGTTGGAGGGCTCATAATTGCTGGGATTTGCCCCCGAGGCCCCTCCCCGGACCCCATTCCCCCAGCGACCCGCACTGGTGTGAAGCCGACAAATGAGGCTTGGAGAAGGTCATTTTCGATGCATACCGGCAGATGAAAGCACACAAGGCACGACTCCTTTTGCTGTTTTCTGCATGCCTCAGAGTTCGAATTTTCCGGCTGCCCCATGCCGGTTGCATCACAGCCCCTTCGACCAGGCCTACCTCTGGGGAGTAAGCACTTCGCAGAATGCCCGGCACATGAAGGCTGGACAAGGAACGCTGTGAGAATCCGAGCCTTGAAGCCCTGGGGAGTCGTTGAGGGTAGTGTAGGAACCTGATGAAGAAACCTGGGGTTCTTAATCCCCAAACTACCTCGGATCTATACCCAGACTACTACATGAGATTCAGGCTCCGAGCTATCATTCGACCCCACAAAGATCCAGAAAGCCCAATCCCGGGTCTTCTTGCGAATTACCTTTCCGTCTTGCAGTATAAACCAAAGGACTTCTGAAGATTAGTAATTCTTATTCTGGGTCCCAGAGGCTTAATTATTTATTTATATATATATATACATATATATATATACACGCATTCTCCCTGGAGTCCTGGAGGTCTATGGCTTGTCGAAGCGGAACGGCCTCGTCAACGGCTATCTGAACGGGTACATCAGCCGACCCAAGTGCATCTCGACGAAGCGAACTTACCTTAAACTACCAGAAGCCCCCTGTTTAGGTTCTTATGATAAACCCAAATATACAATCGATAGGAACCCTACAAAGAAGTAGGTTATGGTCGTTGAGGGTACATTTGCGATGTCCAGCCAGCTATGAGGGTTTCTTATCTTGCAGAGGGTCCTCAAACTAAGGATCCCACTTCTTAAGGGCTTGGGGTCTCTTATGTTCTCAAATGCCCACCATCATAGAATAATTGCTACAATAACTGGCCCAAACGTTTAAGCCTTAGCCCACGCTAGGAAACTGGACATGCAGGATCGTGGCACACCGGCTGAGGCCAGTATTCAAGAGCCAGTCCTTGCGCCCTGCTGCAGGCAAGGGACTATTCCGCACCCTCACCGATGCCACCGAAGATTCGGAGTTTGCTGTGCGACACTACGCGAAGGACCATGCTACTACAAGCGCAGGGGGTATAAGATGCCACTGCAGAACCTCGGCCCATGCCTGTTGGTGCTGCAAGGGATCTGAATTACTGCCCCTCTTCGGATCCCCCAATGCCAAACGGAACGCTAACTTATCAAAGGGACTTTACAAGCGAACAGAATTGAGCGCCCTGCTCATGAATCCGCTCCTCCACTGACCTTGACTCCTCTTCTCCTGGATCTCTCGAGCTTCGGAGAGCCCCTACTGAGAGGCGCAGGGCGCTTGGCAAATAGTGTTGGGGAACGGGCTTATTTAGGATTTGTCGGGCCGGGGGCTATCTGTGGGGTTCTTCATGACGCATTTCGTGAAGGGTTCCACAGGTCAGGGCAGGAACTATCAAGCTGACAATGAATACCATACTTATCCTCAACTTGCGCGGTTGCACCTCTATGCACGACCCGCTGGCGAAGTCCGCAGATCCTACTTGACAAGCACTTTCAGTTCGATCACCAAACCCTGAAGCCTTGATAATGGTGTCGCCAGCTTTAACTTAAATTTCGAACATAGACCCCTCCCCAACACTTCGGTATAGAAGCTGTCGAACCTTTGTGGAATCATGTACTTTACTGGAGCCTTGGGAGGATGGTGTGGTGCTGCGCTATCGTGACCCCACGGCAATGAGGGTTTACAGGTGCACCAAGCCATAGACCATAAACGGCAACCCTCTCAAGCCCCCTTCATAAGCCCTAAATCCTTAACCCTAGACCCCAAAAAACCCTCAATCCTTAAACCCTGAACCCACTAAAACCTCCATCCTTGTCGATAAAATGCTTGACAATGCGGAGTGCTGGTCTGAGTTAAGATCAATGTTGCTGCGAAGCGAATTTGAGAAAGATCTGCCTCACGAGCTTCTTGCCGCCAGGTCCGTATCCCACCCCCCACTTTGCCATAACAGCGAGGTTAGGCTGCCAGACCCTACAGCTACACGTACCTTGTTTGTGTGACGGGTAATCTTTGCTAAGCCGGTCCATTTGCGTGATGTCGCTTTTCCAGGTATGTACGCCGGCATCACCAGTCCCTACCTCAATCGAGGCTTGCAGGGACCAAGCGCCGACGCGTCGGCATCACCTGTGTGACAACCCCCCACCCTCCATCCCAACTGGCATGCCGAGCGTCAGCATCGAAAGAGCCCCAGCCCTAACGAAGCTAGATGTTGAGATGAAGGGCCTGAAAGGTTCACAGGGCTCCGAACTCCTGATCAATGATTTCTCTGTCCTCAAGCATGAAGCCGGACCGGAGTGTTAGAAGGTTCCTTTGATTATAATTACGCATGTTAGAAATGGTGTTATCGTATGGATTAAGTGATTAAGGGGCCGAGACGGCTACAGGGTATGTAGCTTCTCAGCTTGGGGAAGGCAGGTAATGAACAAGAATCCATAAGAATCCCCTATCAGGCAGATGTAGGCGGGGAGTCCAGAAACTCAGGCACGACACCTTGAAGCATGACTTGCATCTTTGATTTTGGCATGTGTGGTAGTCTTGGACACTTGGCAGAGACAGTCCCAACTGCATAGAGTAGCAGGCGGGCTGCAGAAGAAGTTCGAAGCGAGTGGGGAATCTTGGATCAAGTAAATAGTACTGCTCTATGGATGGGCTGTTGCCTTGCAAGTTCAGCGACTGAGCAGATGGCGGTTGCTTTACGCAGACGGCCCCAAAGCAGAATCCCGACGGCTTCGTTGCTTTTTCTGGGGGATCGGAGCTAGTTTGATATGATACTCGGCAGTTGCAAGGTTCCGCTGCAGACGCGTCTGCTGCGTTCTCACCAAGTATGAGCTACCACATACATGCATAGATGCCCTGCAAGTACTATTGCTAGAGACTCGAGCGGCTAGTACTTCTCAGATCGTACGTCAGCTCGTGTCATCTCAGAGCCTCTGTTCATATCTGCTTCTAGATTGCTTGAACCTGGAGCCGTCCCATGAGAGCAACATCTCGCTCTCTTTTGCATCAGGAGCGTATCACAGCCGAACAGCGGGGTGAAGCCCGGAAGAAGGCCTCCTGCAGCGGCGATTGGATCTAGCCACGCCACGACGCAGAACTACTTATAGCAAGTATGTCGTAGTCAAAGTGTCCTGATGTCCAGAGCCACGGCTTGACAGAGTGATGGCCGAAATCACGGTTTGAGTTGGCCTGTCAGCCAGATGCTCCTGTGTGGCACGGCCTGTCACACTGCTGTTTCAAACCCATTAAGCTGGCGGGTGTAGTGCGGCCCTCATGCAGTGGGATGCATCGCCGGGGAGAGAGAGACAGAGAACAAGTATTGAGACGCGAGGTAAAATCAGCAAGCATACAACGTGTGCAAAGATTATGTGTGTATATGTATGTGTGTATATATATATACAACAGATGCATGTATGCATGCATGTATGTCTGTGTGTGTGTGTACGTGTGTAATGAAGTGCACTGCAATGTAGTGTAATGTATGCAAGTGCATGTATGCATGCATGAATGCTTTATGTATTATGTATTTACAGACGAAGGAAGGTTTTTACACCTTTGGTCATTTACTTAGCCGTGCCACAGACAGGGACCACCACCCCATGTGCCAGGAGGAACGCTGGGGTGCAATGGAGCTTCACAAGCCGCCTGGCCTGCACAGCCTTGGCGCGAGACCCTGGAGTCAGGAATAAGGATCCTCCTCCTCAGAGCCTGTTTTCGATTTGCATCTCGTATCCTTATTTTTTGGAGCTCGAGCGGTTGGATTTTTGGTGTGCTGTGTAGACCGAAGTGTTCCAAGGATGTTCCCGCAGCTCGTGGGACCTCCCAAGAAGCGTCGGGACAAGAAGACCATGGAGGTGGCACTCTGGGCTATAGGTGTGAAGAGGGTCCGGGATCTGAGCTCTAGTGTAAGAGATGCCTAGCCTAGGCTCAAGTGTCAGAGAGCCTCCATGTTCACAAGGAGCTTGCGGCTTATAGCCCTACTTTTTCACATTGCGCACAGAGACGGCTTCATAGCGGAGAATGCTCCGGAACATGACTCTCACGGCATGTGATTGGAGGGAGACGTCGCAGACTTTATACGGTTTCGCGCTCGACTCGAGGGGGCAGAATGTGGGGAAATGAGATGCTGTAGGCTTCTGGGGGCTCTGGTGGTCGGCTATCAGGTCAAGTTGAAGGACAGTTCATGATGGTCGTAGCCCCAAGTAATTGGAACTTGCATCCCCAGCCATAACGTACATAAAATAATCCCGTGATCCTTTAAGGAGTCCCGATGTCACAGCTCTGGGTACCGCGCCACAGCCTCAAATAGCTGGGCGGGTGCGAAAAAAACTTCAAGCCCAAACAGAGCCCCTTGCGGCCTAACCTTAAAATTTCATCTCTCCCGTGCACGGTACTTGCAGGGTACCTTTTGAAGCCTAGACGACCACCCACCCCCCAGCCCTACGATCGCAGGTGAACTTTCACAGCATGGGCTATCCGCCAGGCCTTCGTTTCGGTTTTAGGGCGTACGGAGTGGTGTGGGCTCCGGGCTTGAATTTTTTTCAGGATTAGGGGCTTACGATTTTTGTTTCAGATTCATTTAGGGCTTAAGCCCCATGGAAGTGCTCAAGTGCTGTGGTTTGTGGGTTACCGGACTCGGATGCGTTGAGCGAGGTGTATCCCACAAAGCTTGAATTCGTGAATCTTCCGTCAACAATTAACGTGTGTGCCTTGTTTCAGTATTCCGACATCGTCGGGCGTGCTCGGGTCGCAGAGGAGGCGTGGACAGACAGGGGCCACAGTAGTTCCCTGATTCCTGAACGCTCCTCCGACAAGTAGGCATCCAAAAACAATGAAGGCCCGTGTATGGTAAGCATCAGAGCTCTAGGATCCCTGCAAAAGGCGTGGTTGAGGGTGGGACGCTGACTACTCAAAAGGTTAAGTTCCGCTTCCCGGCCCTCGTTGTGCCTTCCTGAAGGCGAGGGAGGCAAAAGGAAGCGCATTGCCCCTCGATTCATGGATGCTGACCTGATCCGCTACAGACCTGAGCAACGTGACAGCAACTGCTTGAACAATGCGATTGCAAGTGATAGCGAGGCATGAGTGCTCATGCTTCTTGCCGTCGTGACAAGGAACTGTATTCCACGGGGGCATAGTCCTAGGTCAGCAGGCTTCCTTCCTGAGGTGACAAAGTTGTTCTGTCAGCACACCCTAGAGTGTGAAGTCACCTACTCTTGTGTGAAGTGTTGGGACCGTTGGAAAAGTAGGCTAGGTTTTGGGCTGCTGTTGTCCCTATTTGTGCGTCTCCTTGATGATGCTGCTACCACGACCAGCACCACCACCATCATCACCACCACCCCCACGACTACAACGACGACATCGCGACGACGACGATGACGACGACGACCACTGCTACTAGTTGCTACTACCGCTACCGCCACGACTACACGCACCATGTGCTCCAGTGAGGAACCCGAAACTGTGGGGATGCCATGCCTACAAGCTCTACGAGAGCTACAAGAGATCAAAGACCGGCATGTGAGATGGTGTAAGGCAGTTTAAGGTCTTAGAGTTGAGGGTTTTAGGGTCCGGGTACAGCGTTAAGGTCTTTGCGGTTTGGGGCTTGAGGATTTGTAGCATTTAGAGGATGAGAATGAGTGGGTTTGGGGTTTCAAGCGACGTTCTGCGAGGGTTAGGACCTGCTGTCTCATGCAACAGCTCTCGGCATCTCGCAATGTCCACTTCGCCTGTCCACCAGGCGACTTCCCGGTAACTTCACGGGAAGATTTCTGTGTCGACGAAGCAGCCAAATTAGAATCCTAAGTCCTGAATTCATACCGATGTAGCATCATGCACAGGTTCGATCCTCTGAACTCCAACACCCTTTCACCAAGCCCCTAAACCCTGAAACCCGAAAAGCCAGCCTGCAGATCATGGAAAGACTGATATTTTGCTGAGCTCATGCAGCGGATTGAGGTCTCAGACCTTGTGCAGATTACCTGTCCCTTCGAAGTAATCTGAATGATATCCTAGTTTTTTTATTGGGACTTGTTACATTGTAGTTGTTGAGATGTTTCTCAACAGAGAGTGTGGCCCGCCATGGGTGTGTATGCGGCTCAGGACGGCATAAGAAAACGTACCCCGTAGAACTCCGTTGAACATTGAACAGCCCCATATCTCATCAGGACACTGCGAGAGGCCGTGCGGCTCGGCGCGAGGCCCATCGACTTGGCCCACGACTACAATTGGGGCTTTCTCACAGCCCTGGGCCCGGAAAGTCTACGATAACATGATGAGCAGCATCATCGTGACACCTGCAACTGCCCTCACTGGTGTTGTTTCAACTGGGAAAGCTCTCATGAAAACTCTTGTGACTATTGGCAGCCTGCGTGCTCAGTAGTTGCAGGCATGTCGTGTTCATCAGTGTTCCGGGTGTTCCGCACGCGACGATTGAATTGAAGTAATTCTAAGTAATTCTTTCATCCCGCACAGCCGGCTAGGCGCCATATTTTCAAGGGGTTGAGAACTTCTTGGTTGTTCGTGTAAGTGCAGGAATGCTCGATAGACGGACCCAAAATCGCAAGGGTTAGTGTGCCTTGGGCTTTCAAGCTGCTTAATCGTGATCACATCCGAGCCAAGGGTTGAGGCGAGGGACTCAGTGAAGCCCACCTCGAACCCGCAACAAAGACCTCGCCCGGCTGTGCGCAGTTGTGAGTGCTGAAACTGAAAGCCCTAAAGTTACAGCAGTTCCGCTTGGACGCCTGTTCATGCCACTGCTGTGACACAAACCGTGAGTCTGCGGAGACCTGCGATCGACCATTTGCATAAGCAAGTGGTTGGCAGCATCGACCACTTGGAAACCTCATGGCAAAGAACATACTGACCTATCGGAAGTTCGCTGTCATGTCTCTGCCCGTCTTCTGGCAAATTCCATGCAATTCCTGGCACAGCTTCGGAACTGATTGGTACTTTCGACCGAAACGAGAAACAACGTTTATCTTTTTTTGTTCGAGATTCGCAGGTTTCGCGGTGGAGGCTTTTGGGGGGGCTTCGATGGACTTTTGGTGCCTTGCCCATTCTTTTCCTGGTGACTTCGAAGCTTACATGTTTGCACGATGCAGCGATGGTGCCAAGCTGTGTTGCGACGTGCTCATAAACTTCGTCATCTTGCTGGTCCTGATCGCCCTCTCGCGGTCTTCTTGGTCTTCGAACAGCTTCGTGGTTACTCGCTACTAGGAATAGAATCGTGTTCGACGTAATTAATCCTGTTTGCATACGCCTTCTGGCTGTTCACATTTCTCCCGATGCCCACGCGGCTGATGGTTCCACCAGTAAAGAAACGTGAAGGCCATACCATGACAGGCAAAGCTCCAGCTCAATCTCAAGGGGAGGAGGAGGTTTCAATAGCCTTCAGCTTTGATCTGTGAATTTCACAGCATCAAGCTCAGAACATGTAGACCGAGTTGTATGCAGGATTTCAGGCCTGAGAAGTTTCCAATACTTCTGTCAGTTTACTGTAGGATAAACTTCGGCAAGTCCTCCAAATGCCCGCAAGAAGCAGCGCAAGCCACTGTTTAAGAAGTTGTCCCTGTTTCATGCGAGGCCTATGTAAATAGACGGTAGCCCGAGCAGGACCACAAGCTCTGAGCACGTTTGCTCTCTGGATTCGTTTTCGTGTTTGGTCTCAGGTTGCGGTCATTACATAAGTTGCCCAATGCGGCAGCCCTCTTGAGATGCAATGTGCTGACGCCTCGCCTGTAATGTCCAAGCTGTGAGTCGAGACCTTGAAACCCTAAACCAGGAAACCGCAAGCCCTAAGAGTAGTTCTCAAGGTCCGGCGCTTATCTTTGAACTTGCCATGGGAGGTGGAGATCAAGGACAGCCATAGAAGCACTCGAAACCTCCAAGGTGTCTCTTAGTATCCATCCCCCGCTGCTTCACTTTCACTGATTCACCTTCACCACTGAAAAGGTCAGAGGACTTGGCAAGTAGGTTTTACTCCAAATACGGAACATTACAAGCCGATCTATATCCGAGTTGCTAAGACCACGGGTCATGCAAGTACCTTGGGAATGCCTATTCGGAAGCACTTTTGTGGGTCCTGATATTCGCTTGGACAGATCAGAGGGTACGTGCCTCGGCGCCGCAGAGGTTTCGCTCATCCTTGAGAGTTTAGGGTTTGACGGCACATAAGAGAGCGGCAGATTCAATAAGAGCTTGGGGCACCACTTCACAAGTTGTGGTCTTTGATGGTGCTTGACCCCAGATCTTCCAATATGCCTGAATTTGGAAGTAGTGCCGAGGTCACAACAGAATACCCTGATTGATTCAAAGAGTACCCCGTACTGAAGGTATACTGGAAGTCCTGCATGATCTATCATCTTTGCCCAGCTGCCCCTGCCCACAAAGAGGTCCAGTTGGGGCCTTGGGGTTCAGGGCTTATAAGGGCCGGGGATGCTCGGGGTGTATCCGACAAGTGAACCATGAAATCGACTTGAAAACTGAACAAGCAAACCCTGATGTCCTGTTGGCCTCAGAGGAAGCTCAGTGTAGCACACGTCTCGGAGAGCGTTCTCCGATGTAGATATATTTGTGAAATGTAGGGGTGGCACAGCAGATTGCAGCAAAGCCTACCCCTAAAGACCTGCATCCCCCTTCCCCCCCTCTTGCAAGGAGCGACCTCCTCCTGCGCAGCGGGTTGGCTTCAAGTGGGCCCAGAAGCCTCGCAAGAAGGCATCCAACCTCTTTGGTTTCGGGAACGGGTTAGGGCTGTTTAGGCCAGTTCGGGGTCCTCAGAAATTCATCACGTCAACGCTCCCGAACTACAAGCGCTTCAGCACGAACGGGGCTGCGATGTCACAGGCGTGGATCAAAACGGGCGCGATGGCATTGGGGGGCACAGCCCGCGGGAGTTCAGACCACCTGGGAGCCCACCAAGAGACCACCAAGAGACTAGGAGACCACGACAGCAGGAGACCAACATGGCACCACCAGGAGGGCACCACGTCTCCAGGAGACCCCTAAGAGACAAAAGAAACCAGGCGCATGCAGCGGCCGAACCGCCAAAGCACCTAAGATGTTTCGCATTCTGGCATAGAAAAATACCCTAAATCCGAAAAGCAAACTCGAGAACCCAAAGGACTAAAGCCCCACACGGATGTGTCCGGGCTGGTTACAAGGCCATGTAAAGTATTTCTGATTTCGTACTGGGACACGTAGAAGCTGACATTTGTGACTTACTCCCTGACAATCCTGAGCCTCCGGCGAGGCTTGACCCTTGAACCTTCAAACCCTGATCCCTTACAATCTTGTAGTAACTCCTCAACTCGCTCTTGCTCTCCCTCTCTCTCCCTCTGTCTCTCGCACGCGTGCTCGCTCAATTTCAAGTAAGGGGCGGGGCTCATCATACATCGCCTCTCCCTCATTGTAATAGTCTTGTCATGTTTGAAGGATGCCGCGCATGTGGCTTAAAGTGTTGAGCCCGCAGGAGGAGGAGATATTCCACAAAATCGACGATTCCATCTGCCGAGTGCGCATCAAGGTCTTCTAGATGCATCGAGCAAAACTCTATCGATCCTTGTGGGTTTGCTGCACTGCACATAGAGTCGAAGCACTGCCATGAATATTGTCAGCGCTTACAGGTTGCGCTGGTTGAAGCCATGCGTTCTAAACCTTCAAGCCCCAAAGCCTTCTCCATGCATCAGCGATCGTAACGCTCATAGACCGGCATCTGATTCCAGATGCGTCCCAGACCTGCCACGGACTGCCTGAACCACTGAGAAGCCTTGCGTGGCTGGTCCGAGCGAGCCATCCCACCTAAGGACATGAGCTTGGGTCATCAAGGCCTCACATTGCCAAAGGCCGAAGTGGTAAGAGGGGTCAGAGCGATGGTGCTTGATTGGGCTTTCGTTGCTGGTCCACGGCAAAAGCATGCATGCTTTCCCCAGCAGGACTGCGCATGTGTTGTCGTCTCGCTTTGTGGTCTAACTTCCCACTGCTGGAAACAACCTTCTATGCTGACACGCGCACACACACACATGTCAACTCAACGACTGTGTTGTTAGCCAAAGCACATCCCATATGCTAGAAAGCTTCACTGGGTCGCTAGGTCGTTGCCTGGGCATGTAGTCTCACAACGGCAATGCCTTTGGATAGCACATCAGGCCCCGAGAAGACCCATCTCGTCGGCATGAGCCCTTTAGAAAGGTGCCCCTTACATGTGTCATAGCATGCGCCCTGTGCCAGAAAACGCTGATACCACTGGCGCGACGGGTGCCACAGCACTTCCGGAGACTGGGCTGGAGCTTGTGGCTTATCGGAGGTTGAAGCGACATCCTGCACCAAGCTCAGTGCAGTAGCCCTGCTGTGCAGAAATGGCCTGTTCCGGTTCCAAGCATGTTCACCAGCTAAAAATTTTAATTATACCATACTACATTAGATCCTTGAGCCCTGAGCCGCTGACTGCCACCCTAACTTCGGGCAGACACTGAGGAAGCTTGAGCTGAACGACTTGACGAAGGAGGAGCCACGCCGCCCGAACCCTTGACCTAAACTACTCAAACCTTCGACCCCTAAAAGGTAGACCCCTAAACTGTACCTTGAAATCCTATCGCGCTGAGCCCTGAAATAAGAGAAAAAGCAAGGCCGTCTGGAGCATTAGTGTTTAAAATTATTGTTGGGGCTCCATTAAGCGGGGGCTCCTACTATAAAGTTTCCTTTGAGAGCTCATTTACGAGTTCCCTTCATTGTATTTTATGGGTACTATGCTCTGGGGCACAGCAGGTCAGTGCCATGCACTAGCGGTGAGGGGTTCGGGCGAAAGAGCCCGGAAAGAATTGTGCTGCAGCTTTGGTGTACGTGCTTTTCTGAGGCAATGTCGACGTTCTCGTTTGAATACCAAGCTTAGTTTCGACCATTGCGCATCAGTTTGATGTGCAGCTTCTACTCCTGTGAGGACGGTCCGTTGAGCTCGGTTCCCATGCTGCTTGGCCAGATGGATGACATGATGGACGGACGGAGTGGCAAAGGCAGTGCAATTGTAGTTCAACCGATGCTATTTGTGCATATCGTTTTCGTCCGGCCAATTCAAAAGCTTGCTCCCCTCCTGCTGGTACGACCACTGCTGCTGTTGAGTATGCCTATGACGCTGGTCTGGGGTCCCAAAACGACACAAGCACAAGTATGTTACAGGATGTCCCAACCTTGTTGGGCTTCATTGCAATGAGACGGGTGGATGCCCGCGCCATAGTTTTCTCACCATCAACATCAGCAGCCCCTGGAACAGTAGAGGATCGGGGACATGTCAAACCTTTCCAAATTTCGTCATGCGGACCACCGAGCCTTGAACATCGAAGCTCTGGTTTCTCTGCGACTTCGTAGTACAGTATACTGTATATCGAAATAGAATCATACTGCCAGCCTCTGACTGTGAGGGCAAAACAACCAGGCGGAGTATGTATGTATGTATGCATGCAGCATGCATGTATTTAGGTAAGGGCCGGGTGTTAGTTACCTGTCTCACGACATCCGCTAGGCATGACGACTCGAGCAGCGACATTAAAGTCCATAAGTAAGTATGTATGTACGCACGCTGTATGTACGTATATTGCTTGCATGTGTGTTAATATATGCATACATACGTACATAGGTTCTATATGTAGTGATGTACGGCAAACCTTCCAATCTGGATGCAGCAAGTGTCATGGGTGGCCTCTTCATGTTAGCCATAACTGTGTCATCGCATGTTGCCCTTCGAGTTGAGGGTAAACCCTGCACTTCGCGGCGCATGATTGTAGACAACCGCTCCAACGGTGCAGCTGCATCTGTCAACTTCAACGAGTTTGCTAGTCTCCAGAAAGCACAGCATGAGGCTAAATACGCTTGAGAACACCACTGTTACCCGACCGCATTCCTTTGAGGGTGGTTCTACGATCTTTGCTGCGCTGGATTTCCACTGGCAGCCTGCGATACTTGCGCAAGAACACCAAGGCCATTCTGAGTTGGCAACCTTGATCGCAGGCTTCAAATCCTGACAGCTTCGCCCCTGTCCACCGAGCTGCGGGCAGCTCGGGCCCCTAAACCCCAAAGCCCTCAACCTCAACACTCCGAACGAAGAAGATCAGGGCTTCCTTGAGAGACCCTCCAGTGAAAATAAATGCCGACGATATCGTCCGGGGGGAAAAACTGGCTCAAGTTGTTGGCGATTTTCCCGAGGGAAGCCAGAGTAAACCAGGTCCTGGGCATCATCGCGAAAGGGATAATGCGCCGCCGATACCTGCACCTCGCCACCTGCATCGCAGACGGAACGCTCGAGGACTATTTTTGCTTTGTTCCGGCGGGTTGCGAGAGGTGACTGCTTGACGTAGCATACGCAGTGCAGATGGGTTTCACAGTGTCGCACATCTCCGACACGGTGAGCTTCGTTTGGTGCTTGGAGTCTGCGTGGTCCTCATCTTGCTCTGCGACGCGGCACTGGTGACGCACTTGGGCTGCCAACGTGAGTCCTGCACCAGCACCAGCGACTCTGTGAGCCCAAAGAAAGTGCGACCCTGCCTTGTGGTGTTCCTCGGGGAACTTTGGCAGGCCAGAGAGCAAGGACTTTTGCACCTGCATACTGCCGATGGTGTTGCTGAATGTGCTGCGGCTGCTGCCCTGATGCCACACAAGCTTCCGGATACGGACATTGAGATGCACGATCAAGGGATTTGCGACCACACGCATTTCCGCGGGTGCTGCGCATGTGTCTATGTGTACGCGCCTGTACAGGCTCCTCACTGGAGTGTTGCGAACGCTCTGATTCGCCCCACAGCAGTGTGCGGAGACAATAATAATTGTAATGCTCAAGCACGCAAACGGTGAGAGACCCTTCGGGGAGGCATTCCTCATGGTAAACTAGAGTCAGAGAGGGGTTTGATTGTCAGGGCTTTGCAACAGCTCAGAAAGAGCGTCGGGAAGATCAAGGGCACAATTGACAACATTACCTGTAGCATGGTTGAAGATTCGCTCCTGTGGTTTCTTGAGGTTTTTTTGGCATAGGGTTTGGGTCCAAGGATACAGGATGATTATAGGACCTGTATAAGGTTAAGAGACTTATCTTGCGTGTCGCTAGATCTGGTCTAACTAGCAAAGTTTGATTTGAGTTCACAAGATCCTTCTCTTAGGGCCCCTGAAAAGAAAAAGGAGTTTTGAAAGCAGGGGCTCCAGTTGAGCCGTGACTGTCCTGAACGTGGCCTCCCTTCTGAACGTGCCGAATGAAATTCCTAAACCCTGACAGGCCGTGCACACTTCCCTGAAGGCGGCCCGCATGCTTGAAGCGAGTAGGTCTTCTCTCGCTTAGGGTCCCTTGGGAGATTACAGGGTTAGGGCTACTGTAAGGGTTGATATAAGGATTGTTTTAGGTTGCTTTCAGTCGTCAATACATGAATACCCCAGGGATGCAACTCGCCGGTTCGGGGAGGTGCTGTACGTATCATAGGCTTGTAAGGGGGTTCAGTGGGACGTAATTACCCATGAACCCTCAAGTAGGGTTTTTTGTCGTGCTTTCTGCTTTCGGAGATTGCATTGCGCAAACCCTTTTGTAGGACGTTGGCTTTTCATCAGAAAACATCAGAAAACGCTATTCCTGTGGGGATTTCTGATATCTTGATAACTTAGCTCCGCTATCTCCCTGTGCCCGTGGGATTGGCAAGCCGACGCCCATCCCGACAGCAAGCGAGCTTCGTTGGGCAGAGGGGCCATCGTCCCACCTGCTTTGAGCTCTTGACTTTGGAGCATTCCCATAGGCTCCAAAGTAGTTCCTTTTTGTGGTTTATATTTAGGATCCTCTCAGGTAATCCCAAAAAGGAACTACTTTGGAGCCTATGGGTTCTCTAAACGGAGGACTGAGTCGGTCAGAGCTGTTTCCCCGCTTCGAAACACCGCAAACAGGTTTGTCGCTCTTGCAGGTGCAGCTCCCCGGAGCTCACTACGTAGAATGTACAGCGCTTCCGTTTTACTTCGGCAGAATCGGCTATATTTTTTAGCATTCTGGTGTTCTGGGCAATTTCAGAACATGTGGCTTGCTGAAGTTCAGTTTTTCAGGCGCTGGGCTTCACTCAGATGGCGAAGAAGGTGAAGCAACGGGAGGTTGGCTGCCGACGGTCAGAGGGTGGCTGCACTAGATCCTGGTCACCAGCTGTGGGGTCCTTGTTTGCACGGCTAGTTAATGCTCCTTGTGCAACGGCCGAAGGGCTCCTTACCACACGACACGGTACCATTGGGCTCCCTTCGGGTGCAATCGTTACACGAACTATCAGCGCAAAGTCGGACACCTTGCCTTGAGAAATTCCTTGTGCAAGAGCAGCCATGTAAGTGTTTTAACCATTTTAATCTCCTCAGCCGACTCCTCAGCTAGGTGACAGCCATTGCTTTAGGGTGCAGGCGTTTACTTTGAACAGGGTTGTGGCCTTGGAAAGGTGCATGGCATACCATCATCAATGTTGCGCGTCTCGTTCTGTCTGAAACCAAATGCAAGACAAAGCCCATCGCTCAGAGGCCGCAGACATGAAGCTGGCCGAGGACAAGGAGATGCGCTTCTGCATGTGATACCTGCAGTTTTGCTGTGAGCACCCAATGAGGATGGTGAACTGACAGGGTCTTGATTGCTGTGATGGCCGTCTTCATGACACCGACAGTAATGAAGATGGGTTTTACGAGAATGAAGAAGATGAGCAGCAGGAGGAAGAAGAGGACGACGGTAATGATGTTGTTTTTGAAGATGAGGATGAAGAGGAGAAACGCAGTAGATGTGATTGATGAACGTCCACTACTGCTGCTGCTGCTGCTGCTGCTGCTGCTGGCTGCTGGCTGCTGGCTGCTGGCTGCTGGCTGCTGGCTGCTGGCGGCTGCTG